GAAGGAAGGAAGGAAGGAAGGAAGGAAGGAAGGAAGGAAGGAAGGAAGGAAGGAAGGAAGGAAGGAAGGAAGGAAATACCCAATCAATTCAATTACCCTCATATAATCCAGCTTGTAGTTGGATTATTTTTCCCACTGGATTATCCCCCATTTAATCCTAGCTAACACATAAAGGTTACTTTATACAATAATAATTTATAGCTATTTTACAAAATTTGTTAGTTCTGCTGATAGTAAAAAGTCAGTTTTAACAGATGCCAATTTTATTTGCACACAGAACATTGAAGTTTATAATATTCAGACATGTATTTTTTTTTAATAAACAGCAAAATAATAATTTAGGTGAACAAAAATACAGTTTGGAACCAATCTGTTTAGAGTTGTGTAGGAAAAATCCAAACTAAAGGCATTGTTAAAGCACCAAAGTAAATAGTTTCTAGCTGAGCACAGAGAAGCTGTAACGTCTGGAGATGAATAAATGACAGATGGATGAACATTCGGGATCAAACAGTGATGATGAAGAAGCTTCAGTTTCATCAAGATTCAATAAATTAAGATGAAAGCAAACAAAATTACAAGAAGTTGAGGAGCCGAATGAAATATAACACTCTTAACTTAATTGCAGCTCTAATAGAGAATCTCAATGAGTGACACACCTGTGAACCTTTTCATTCATTTCTAACTGTTGTGGTTTTTACTGTTTCATTTTGTAAAAAGGAATGAAAATCAATAGAGAGGTGCCAAAACAGACAACCATGAAACCGAGACCCACCCAAAAGATGGAAAGAATCCTGCAACCTATGTTCATAAACTAGGAGGAAGCTGCTCATGTCAGCACCAGCTCTACAGGGATGATGGCTGCTGCATGGTAGAACTCTAAAAGGAAGGTAATCCATGACTCCTCAACAGCAAACACTGACTCTTGTTAAATGAAATTAAAATAATTTCTGCTCTGCATTAACTATAAGTGGGACCACCCGCTGAGGTTGTTTTATTCTGGTAATGGGGCATGGCGATTCACGATGGGGGGCTGACGTGGGACCCTCACAGCAGAGGGACAGCTGAAGGTGATAAACAAACATCTCTACGAGGAAAGATGTGGGGGTCTCAAGCTTTGGGATGCTGGTGTTGTCATCACTTCCTTTCAGTGAGAATAAAAAGAACAAGAAAAAAGACCTCTAACGCTCTTTCTCTGTCCCTTTCATGTGAGAAACAATAAAGAATCTGTCTATAAACACCAGTTAAACAACTAAACTAGATTTTGATTTGTAGCATAAAACAGATGGGTGTGAAAAACTTTAGAAATTCACTAAGCAAAATCACCTACAGTGACATAACTGGGAACTAGAGGAACCAGTAATAATGGACATTAGGGAGCCAAATTTTAAAACACGACTCAAGACTTAATTTTATTCGCTGGGTTTTAACACTGGCAGGATTTAGCTGTTGTGACCTTGTTTTATTTCGCTTAAACAAATTCATATTATTGCCTTAATTTATATTTTTATGCTGTATTTTATTTCTTTATTGTGTTTTATTATTTTTTTTTGTAGCTATGACAGCACTTTTTTTCAGTTGTAGCTATTTTAAAGTATAGATGAAGATGATGATGACTTTTGAGGAATTTAAATCAGGCTAAATATTCTCTATTCAGAGGGAGACCTCTGAAGCTATCATATAAAAAAAAGACGGGGTGCCAATTTTTTTTCAGCTTCCAGTGAACCCGTCCAGCCTTTAGCCTGCATGACAACCAGCAGGGAACAAGATAAGTTTCCTAGACAGCTTTAGATCGAAAAATCTTCTAAAAAGGCTTTTTTTTCTTTAAATTAAGTTCAAGACTCGCCTTTTATCTAAATAGATGAAAACAGAAACATACTATTCAAGTTAAGAACAGTAAAAAAAACTGAGCAGAAAACTTTTTGGCATAAAAGCAAAGCAGAGTTTGTTGGAGAAAACATACTGTAGGTATGCAGGGAAATGGGGTAAAACTACTTACTAATAAACAGTTTAAATAACAAAATAGTGTCTTTAAACTCTTGAAATGAGTTTAAATCAATTTCACATCCCCTAGAGGACACATTTTTAGTTCCTTATATTGTTGAATTAGAGTCGGATGAAGACCATTCTTCTGTTCTACTTGTTTCCTTACTTTGAAAAATCATCCTAAAGATGAAAAAACAAAGAAATGCAAAGTCTGTAGTATTACAAAAAAAAAAGTTATGATAGATTTTTATAGAGAATTGGACAATCCATGTTTACATGTTTAAAACATGCCACTTCTTGAATAGGTACAGATGTGAAGCAACAATTGGAGAAAAAAAAAATCCCCACCAAACTTTCAAAAGGATAATGTTTGTTGGGGGAGTTATTATGTGCAGCTCCGGAATGTCTGAGTGCAGGGAGCACACATTGCATTACCATGTGATATTACATTTAACAGATAGAGGCTTCAAGAAGGAAGATTTGGGGTTTATCCATGCAGGTTATCCATGCAGGTTATGTTTGGCTAGAGAGTTTGTGACCAGAGGATAAGAGAATAAAGAGAACAGCGTATGTAGATTTCTCAGTAACCTGTTAATGATAATCTTCCACTTAAAGCACTAGTTAAACACATTTACTAAATACATTTATTTCACCAAACCTCCTTTTCTTAAACACACAAACAAACAAATCTTTAATATCAAATTCCCTTTTTGCTGCCACTTAGTTCCCCCTCATCACGGATCGTACTCTTATTACGTACTTATCTGCATTCTTTAGATATTTCTTTTTTTTTTAAACACACCCTTTACTGGACATGTTAAGCAAAGCACCTAATCTGATTCACCCACATTCTAAGGTAATAAAAAAATGAAGGCATAAACTCCAGGCAGGCAGCCGTGCTCTGACGGGCTTCGTAAAGGAAAGTGCCAGAAACCTACTGCTGCAGAAATAAGAGATCAAATCTACTTCATCTGTAAACACGATGAAAAGAAATAAAGCAGCATTGTTTGGGATTTCTGAAACAGGCCTGCACTGGTTATAGTTTACTATAATTTCTAATTCCCAATTATTTAATTAAATCACCCACACAGATCGTTTTTTTTTTTTTTTTTTTTACATTTCTTTTGTTTTTCAAGCTTTAAGACACCATTTAGCATATTAAAAGCTCAGTCTTTGAGATTCTTTGATGAGATCCTGCCTACATAGAAAGTAGTGGATTTGCACTTAGGTTTAGTATAAGTGAAAAATAAATTTGATGGCACTCGTGAACCGAATGCAATCCTCCCTTGGATGTTCTGTTGATAAATTCTGGGTAAAAGTTTATGGGGCCTTATAAGAGTGTGTGTCGGAGTGTTACTCACAGGCTGCCATGGTCCCAGAGCAGCTGTTGTTGTCCTCCACGCTGACAAAGGGAGGCACACAGGTGGTGGAGCCCAGACCCTGGGTCAGGTAGGGGGCTCCAGGGTAGTAGGAATGCATCCGGTACTGAGGGGACATACTGTGGCCAGGGAGGTGGCCGTCCCCATGAGGCATCTGCTTTACACAAAAAAAAAAGTAATTCAATGTAGAATTAGGGAAACTATTGCTTCGTTTATGTTCTAAGAGTTTTACATAGATATAATTAGATATGCTCTGTTTATTTTGCTCTATATTTGGAAACTTGCTAAGTTTTTCTTCCAAGTGCAGTGCTTTTCAAAGCAATACTATTATAGTACTGTTGTACTATAACATCACCAAAAGTGTCAGTTTTTTTTAGTTCATCAAAAAGCATAAAAAAGGAAAATATTTTCCATTTGAAGGTGAAAAAACATACTTTATAGGAAATAATCATGGCTCCTTATTCAGGAAAATAAAGGTGATAGAAAACTACTATTTTATTATAGCCCTTTAAAGTAAATCAGGACTAGCTAAGGCTAGCGAGGCAAAGATACTCAAAATGTACAAAATAATGAATCTTAAACTTTGGTGTACGACCAGCGGAGACAAGAGTTTTCCTGAACAGGAATGTTTGAAACAAACTTTTTACATAATAAATAAAAAGAATAAAATACAAAGTGACCTTAATGAAGAGAAGATGAGCCCAGAATAGCTAAAGGTACCTCAAGCTTAATAATCTTTACTTCCAGCTGGCTAACACACAAGAACATTGAAGAATAATTTAGAAAAATAAAGAAAATGAAACAAGAACAAGTGCAGTTTTCTACTGTTTCTGTTTTTATCACATCTAATATAGTCAGATTCAAAGTAACTGCAATCAGTGTTAGCAACACAAGCTAATAGAAGTCTGATTTTTAAGCATTTTGACACTAAAGAACAAATAAAAGGAGCAAATAAACTTTTTAAATGCAGTGCAGCCATGTTAGAACACACAAAACTGAAAATGTTTAGCTATTATTTTAGTATTGGTTTTAAATGACAGTTTTACTTTAATATACTGTGGTATTTAGAAAATGTATAGTTTATGTTTTGTAATGAGGTACTTCTAAAGAAAATAAGGGACAAGTTAACTTAAAAAAGCTTACTATTTATCTATTAAAAAACACAAAATAGAAACAAAACAAAAAAAACAAGATTTAAACATATCAACATATTAAGAAAATCTGATAACTTTCATTTTGAAGATGTCTGTGGCTACATGAACAATTTTGATCAGGAAGAAATTCCTTTCTGTTATAAAGGACAACATTTTGTTCTCTCTGTCTGTCCGTCCCCACACAAAGATTATGCTGTTGCTTACCAAAAGGTTCTGTTGGTCAGAAGAAGAAAAACGCAACTAAAATGTTACAAAACACAGATAGCACCAAAAAAAAGTTGAACAAACGTTTTTATGTAAAAAGTTGCAGCAGAAAGCTGCATTCCTTTCAGGAACTGCCACAGCTCAAACACAGATAACATGTATTACAACAATTATTAAATGAAAGAAAAAAAATTAAATCCAGTTTTATTCCTACAGGACATCTACATGCATACCAAGTCATTTATCCCAGGAATAATATTACTGCACATCCCAGAAATGTAAGGACATCAGAAAGAAAACAACACAGGTGATGATTAATTCTAGGAATGATGTGCAACATATGCTGGATTTCTCCAGTCGCTCAGAAACTTTAAAACAAGCTGTCTACTCAGCAGCAAGGCCGTCTCACTCCGGGTTTTCAATTTCATTTTTATGGAATTTGATTTCTGTCAGTCTGTAATATGTCACCCGTATTGTCCACCTCATCAGTTCTCCGACAGCTTTATAAACTGTTATTTAAACGACACTCTGCTCTCGTATTGGGCTGTGAAAAATACAACAGAGATTGGAATGGAGTCTTCAAACTGCACCAAGCTTATCGCTCTCAGGACGCCCAACAAAACTCTTAACAAAACCTGACCACAAAAATCTTTTGTATTTTTCTGGATCCAACCCAGTGTCTGATGCAGATCCACATGGATGAAACTTCCTCCAGGACCTATATGCTATATTGGTGCTGATGTAATAACAAGTCATTTATGTTCAATCCCACACAAAACATCCTTAGATTAACAGGATTAATTGAGCAGGTTGTTTTAATGAAAAAACCTACTGTCCTACGCTGTATCTCTACCATTATCACAATCCCAAACAAATACTACTAATATACGACCAGTTATTGGAGCAAAACAGCTTTGCAAAAAAAGATAAACACCATCTGATACGGAGGTTAATAATATGTAATGCATTCCTGTATAAAATATTTAATATATTACATAATTAGGATGTTTTATTCTTGTTGAATTAGGTCTATGTTCATTGGCTGCAGAATTAGAGATCAGACAGGATCTTCACCTGCTGGTTTATGATGCTCATCTTCGGAAATTAGAGCAGATAAAGGAGCGATAAGTTAAATGTCATTATTTTAGATAAATAGAACCTAAAACATAGTTAAGTGAAGAACTAAAGATATCTTTTCAGATGAACTATGCTGATATGTCTCACATTATATCCCTGTATTGTCCTCCAGCCTCTTGTTTTCATAGATGAAAGACTTTCACCTGAAGATAATCAGGACTCATCATTGCTACAGAAAAAAACTTCTTTAAAAAAAGAATATTTGGATTTCTTACTTCATATATGTTATTTTTTAAATATATCTAAATGAAAATCGATTAGATTTTTAAAAACACACAAGCAAAGCTAAAAAGGCTGTGATTTAGTGATCTAGCCCTACAGCAGCATGCAGATCAGTCATCAGCAAAACACTTCCTACATTTATTGCATGTTTTCCATGTTCCTATAAAATGCTTAGAGAAAGCTTGGTTGATCAGTTATTAAAACATTTGAATTATTGCACACATTTAAATTCTCATGATAAAATTAATTCATTTGTCTCTCTGGCATGAGGACAGAAAGCAATGTGCAGCGCATGTTCCCACCAATAAAGGTTTCCATACACATAAAGCCCTTCTTATAAACTAATTGTTGACTTTGGGGGGAGGCTTTCCTACCACCTTGAAAGTGCCTGTCTTCTTATCTGGCACCATCTTCTGTCTGGAAGCTCTGTCCCACCCTTATTTTACATCATCCACCTGCATGACAACCAGGCACCGAGAGCACGGAGTGCAGTAGGTAGATGGCCTTACAGTGATAACAAGCACATGGTTTCCTCTGGGGCTGGGTGTTAGAAAGGGATAAGCTCAGAGCTCAAGTTTACTTCCTAAATAAAACTACAAAGACTGGATTATCTATATAGATTTTAATTTACAGATCTACTCCATGTAGTGCATAACTGAAGCAGATGGGAAATTATTCATGGCTTTAACAGTTACTATTACATAAATGCTGATAAGTGTGACATAGTATCTTTTTCTACAGTTAACATTTTTCTTTCCATCATAGTTCAGGCTCAGCTTGACAACAGGGAGAGTATATCTGGATATCATTCATAATTTTAATAATTAAGCATTATCATTTTATTTACTGCAGTTAAGGTCTGGACATAAGCTCCATCCATCTTCCAACTTCAAATCTGACCTAGTTACCGATGACTTTTGAAGATAATCATCCCGATAGCAGAATAGTGCCACCACCAAGTTTCGAAAATGGTGTATTTAGGGTGCAGTATATATTCCCATGGGAATCAGAGTGGTAGAAGGAAATGTTTTGGTAGTTCTGCATCATATTTTGATTATTTTGGTGTTCTGTGTGGTATATTTAAAGCTTAGGACACCTCTTTCTAACTTTACCCGTCTTAACACTTTTTTCTAACTTTATTCCTGACCTATCTGGTGTATCTGGGTCTTCATGATGCAGTTTCTTCAAAATCTAAAACACTTCTGAGAACCTACAGCAGGCAGATTACACCTAGATTAAAATCAGACAAAGGTAGACGACCACAATTTAAAGATGTGCTAATTCAACCAGGCCCTTAATTCACCTTAGCCTCCTGGGTGTCCTATTAGATCATTGAGGGACATTGCCTCTCATTCAGTTTCATGCACTATACTGGGTTTGTCCGTTCAGGTCCACAGATGATCAAATACAATTAATTAATAGGGAAAAAAATAGTCATTCTTGAGTTTATTTAGCCTTTTAGAGAGTTTTTACAGCCAAGCTGCCTGTAGATTAGTATCCCACACAAACTGAAGAATCATATTGTAGAGGTCAGAATTTGAACGACATCCAGCTGTGATGTTACATTTTTAAGACTGATTTTTTGCTGAGAAATGTCCTATTAACGTGTTTTTAAGGTAAGTTGAAAACAATAACTAATAACTAAACTAACTAATTTAGAACTTATATTTAGGCTAGAAGACAGTTTTAGATACCAGACCACTAGTTGGTGCAGGAAACAGCAGTGAACGCCACGTCCACTCAGCCTTCTGTGTCTCGCTCGCTGACTTAAAGCTGTTAGCTCACAATGAAAGCATCAGCTTTGTGTTTGCATTTATTATGCAAACTCTTGTGTTCAATTTTTTTTTTAAATGAACTAAACACCGGTGAAAAAATCTCAGTAAGTTCAAGATGTATGAATACGTTTGTAATTACATAACAATTAAAGTAATTAAACAGACGTATCTAGCGATGCAGCTCCTGAATGGATGAAATGTAGATAATACGTGTTTTTTTTTTTGTTTTTTTTATGTCCTCAAAAAACTGAAACTTTATAAATTAAGAGAAGATATAAATGTCTAACAGCATTGTATGCTCTGCACAAGAAACAGTTTTCTCCAAATAAAAAGATAAACTCTTAAATACTCTGTCAGGGATAACACCTGAGGTATGATTTACTAAAGCTGAAATATAGTGAAATAAATTGTCTCTTTTTAGACAAGTAAAAAAAAAAAAAAAGAAGTGTTAAAGGAAATGTCCATCTTTTTCCTGCCTGCTGTGTGTTTACGGTACTAATATAATGCAAAAATAATAAACCCTGAAATTACAAAAAGAGTGGCCCCTATATTTAGAGAATCGTGGCCCGTAACCCCTTCAAACTGACAAAAAAAAATCATAAATCACAAAGGAGGATGGCTAAATTATGCTAAAGTGTGCTAACTGATTAGCATTAATGTGCTCACTTTCTTCCCTAAGCGCTGAGGCATGGCGGTTTGTTCTTCTGCCGACAGACAATACCATTAACCTTTGCAATTCAGCCTCTGCAGGGTGGCAGAGGCACTGACCCCTAAACTAGATGTTGCTACTGAGGGAAACTGAAGGGAGTTGAGGAGAGGTGGAAAAAATGATCTTCATAAAAATAAAACAAAATGCAAACCACATCATCAGGGATTGGGGGAAGAGTTATAGTTAGAATCTAGTTCATGCATAATATCATCTCCTTTGACACAATAGAGATACATTTCAGCATAAATCAAGAGGATGCGCAGACGGGTAAAGGAGGGAGGGAGCCATAGTGTTCGCTATAAGATGCTCTTTCTGAGGACAGGTTCAAATAAATACCTCACAGCAAGTATGTTAACCAGAAACTTGGAAAACCAATTTAAAATTCAGGTTTCTAAGCTTTAAAATCAAGTATGAACAATATTTTTAAAATACTTTTCCTATAACTGTGTGATTTAGGTTTGCTCTTATTTATACTATTATTTATTGGCCTATTCTTTATTAAAATTTAATTTTTTAACCCTTGAAATTCTGCAGTTTTTTTGTTGTCTAAAAAGAGGCATCAGACAACACACAAGCACTTTAAGAGGTCGTTGTTCACCATACTGACCCAGCTTGTTAAAAAAATGAAGCAACAAGCTACAGCCAAAAAATAAATAAATAAATAATACTTTTAACAGTCTAAAAGATTTAAGGTTTACTTTGCTGTGACAAGCATAAAGCAGCACATTTATGCTGGCAGTGCTAAATATCTAATTTTGTCAAAGAATTTATTCTAAAATGAAACCCCCCTTAATTTTGTGTTTATGGTTCAGGCAAGCTATGCAATAATGTTTTGTTTCATCACTGTTTTTTTATGCTATGTAGCGTGTATAATAAAGGTTCTACTATATGAAATGTATTCATTTATATATTGATACTACAAAGCATGGAAAAAAACAAAACATTTAAAGAAAAATAAAGATACGCATTTTTCTGGTTTCTCTGGTTCCATTTAAAGTGACTTAAACCATAACAGGATAACCAGCTCTGGGGATACAGATGAAATGGGCCCTGAAAGCTGCGTACGCTGAACTCCACAGAAAGGTTGTGATTTATACAAAAAAAAGAAAAAAACATTTCTTTACCATCACATTCCTCTTTCTTGATGATTAACGGGTTCAATCATAACACAGATCAATATATAAATGCAACAAAGTGTGAGGAATTAACATAAACTGCAGTAAACGCAGAAAAACGTCCAAACCACCTGTTCGTGAGGTTGGGCGATGGATGATAACTATGACTTTGGAAATAGGAGGATAAGAAGGTGAACACATTTTCTAGGGATTGTGGAATGGTGCTGACAAAACACAGTTAAATATAACCCTTAAAATAAGTAGTTGTAAATTCAATTTAACTAGATTGAAAAGATTTAAATTGTTTTTAAAGTTCATCTCCTGAACAGAATAAACTAGCTTCACATCTCCAGTTCTCATTTATAGATAGTTTTTCTGAGAAACAATTTGAAAATGTAAAGAAATAACCAATATATCTGTTTTTTTTAGCAGGGATAGCTTAGTTATAGTGAAGCATGAAAAGTGAATAGAGGGACTATTTTTGCCTTTGAATACTTTATTTTAAAGAAGAGGGTTTTTGGATTCATTTCTTCACAAGAAGTCGAGGGAAGCTTAGCGGAATCCGGTGGGTCAGAGCTGAATCAGCTTGAGCAGCTTGGTTCAAGGCGCCCTGATTTAGCGATGCCTGAAGCTGCTGCTGAAGAGGCAGCAGAGGACAGAAGGAGAACCTGAACGCTACACTAGAAAAAATCTAAATCTAGATAACTCATTTTTTCTTAAAATAAGTGTAGTTTTTCTTAGATTGAGGAGGTAAAAGATACATCTTACCAATGGAACAAGTCTTATTTCAAGTGCAGAGTAAAAATCCTCATTCCATTGGCAAACTATCTCCTTTACCTTCTCAAATTAAGGGTAAATACACTTCATTTAAGAAATCTGTACTTAATTCTAGATCATTTGTTCCAGTGCAAGCTATGCTGATTAACAGCTGTGCCTGCGACACAGGCATGTACCAGCATGTAGCATTTAAACCACCCAACTAGAAATATCTTACATGAAAAAAAAAAACAACAGTAACATGAAAAATAGCACCATATAAGCCCAGTTTATAAGGTATAAATACAAAGAATAAGTTAATTTTGGAGTCAGATACACTCTAAATAACTTCAGATCAGAGAATAAGACCATTATACCCCTCCACACCCCCAAATTAGCCCTCCTAAGGTCTTCAGATCAAGTTCTTTTTCTTTTGTCTTCATATTTGTTCTTCTCTTGTTAATACTGGATACACATCTCTAATACTCATATACACTCATGGTTAGAGGTTCCAATGAAGGTTAAAGGACTCTACTTTACTCATGAGAATCCTCTTCTGGCTCCAGATGACCAATAGTGACCATGTAATACTGAGGTACCCAGCTGTGACTGTGTGGGGCTAAATATCCCCCTACTAAGCCTTTAATGACGGGTTAGGTCTTAGAGTCAAGCTGGAGTGGTTACTATGGGTTACCTGGTACTGTTGATAGTTGTAAAGATTGCCATAATATGTGGGGAAGCGCGAAGGCTGGTAGAAGTTGTAGTAAGGAGTTTCCAGAAGGAGGTCAGGCGCTCCGTCGGTATGAGGCCGAACAGCAGCTGAGGAGCTGGAAGGTGGTGAAGAGACACCTCCTGGAAAAAGAAACAACAAATAAACTGTATTGTTCGAGGCCATTCTTTCTATATAACATATTGCTGCGCTTTAAGTGAACTTATTAGGATCCATCTAAAAAATCCTCAAAGGTTGAATAAATGTTTGTGCATTTATGTGCAGAGCTTCTGCTTATCCTGTCCAATTTAAAATTAAACGGCGCCATCTTCTGGTGGCCGTCATGTTTAGTTTTATATCTGAAAAGACAAGAAAACTTAAAATTGAGTTGCATCGTTTTTTATGCCACTCAGTTTTACATTCATATGCAAAGAAACAGCAGTCTCCCTTCCTCTGTGGAGGACACCTGTCATACCAGCTATCTGAAACTGAATTTCATTAATAATAAAGTTTATTCATCAAAATTACAATACACAGCTGAACTACATCCCTCTCTTTTTCACATGAATGACTTCTCAATTATATTCCAATGTATCTATATGGACCTGTATGATAAAAAATGGATACTTATTCTAGGATGAAAAGTACAAGATAATTACTGGCTATCTGGTGTACTTTGCTTATCAGCAAGGCCACATTCTTCCCAGGAAGACCCTGTTCTTCTGGTTTTAACACAAGAGACAAAATGCATCACTGTGTCCAAAGATATGACATCTTTTGTCCCAGCATGTCTTTTCATCACTGAGTGCTTGACTCCTTTCCCAGCATAAATTCTCACTGTTTTGAGGACAGAAAAGGGAGGAATTGAATGGCCTTGACAGTGATGATCAGCCCATATCACAAGTTACCACACTAAAATGATCAAAAACGGCTTTCTGTTTTACCTTAATAAATACATTTTTAAATATTTATAGATCTTAATTTGTTTTACAACTTTTACACTGTTTTCCAGGTACAGTGCACAGTCCTCCTGCACAAATATGTTAGTGAATCAAAGTGAAAATTAACTAAGTGATGTTTGCTTTTAAATTACACATGTGTTGAATTGTATTTCTTCATTGTAGTTTATTTTTTAAAGTAGGCTAATCAGGCTTTTAGCTAGGAATATTTCATAACGTTTACACCTTGGTGAATCACATCTTCAGGCTTTGTGCAGCATATTTTTCCCTGGAAGATGTTGAAATTTAGACTACCTGAAATGCTATTTCCTGCATTTTGAAGTGGAATGCAGCTAACTTTTTGTCTTTGCTACAAAACTACATTTGTCCTGATTAATGGAAGTATGTGTGCTTGACTAGAGGTGGAAATTTCATACGGAAGACATGAGATAATTTTTAGGTACAATATTATGTTTCATTAGTGAATTTCTCCGCTGTGAGATCAATAAAGCTCATCTAATTCATACGTTAATTAACACAATCACAAAGTGTAATGTTCTGCTCACACTGCTATTTGAGCTGCAAAAAAACGTCTGATGCTTTATTTTTTATGCTTGTCCATATTAAGGTCAGATAAGCCTCAAATGCATCTTTGATGCTCCTGAAGCGCGTCCCGTAAAGTGCATACAGATGCATCTGATGCTTCTGCTGCTCCTGCGTTCAATAATAATAATAATAATACATTTTATTTGAAAGCGCCTTATCAAAACACCCAAGGACACTGTACAGGCAGATAAAACATTAAAAACAGGAAGCTAAAAAGTACAAGCATAAGGATGCCACAGAAAACAAAACAGCAGGAAGTAAAATAAAGCCAAAGGAAGAAAAGGAAGAAAACAATATTGGAGTGATGCATATGAACTAGATGGGATAAGACTGTCTGAACAGGAAAGTTTTGAGTCTGGATTTGAAAAGAGGGAAGGAGTCCAGAGTACGGAGATCTGGAGGGAGGGAGTTCCAGAGGTGGGGAGCAGAGCGACTAAATGCCCGGTTCCCCATTTTGACAAGACGGGCCGAGGGAACGGAGAGCTGGAAGGTGTGGGAGGATCGTAGGGAGCGGGTGGGGGTTTTAACGTGAAGGAGATCTGAGATGTAAGATGGAGCCAAGCTGTGGAGGGCCTTGAATGTAATTAGCACAGAGCGGCTTTGCTATATTTGCTGTGATAAGTGGGTAAAAAGTAGCTCTGATACAGGGTTTCTACAACATAAGACAATTTAAATTCAAGACTTTTTAAGACTTTTTTCATCCCTTGAAATAAAACTTTAAAACCAACTTCAGAATAAACACAAGAAAACCTGGTTGCGACAAATTTAACCTGAGGCTTATTTTAACATAAACCATTACTTTCTGGCCCAGTAGGAATGTTTACAATTTTGAAAAACTTTCCATATAGGAACAAACCAAAAAAAAAAACCCACTAATAACAGATACATTTTTAATAACTAATGAATGGAATTCACAAACTTTGTTTTGATCCCTACTCAAAGTCCATAATAGCTCTGCTTTCATTGTAGGCGAACCACCAAACATTATCTGGAGATTTGGTGCTACTGGTGCTCTTTTTGACGTCGGAAATGCTGTAGAGGCCTTGCAGAGACAAGGGTGCAACAGAACTGAGAAATACCTGCTGCTTCTCTGTAACTTGATTTTGGCGCTTTGTTTTTCACCATGGTGCTTTTTTTCGCTATTCCACATTGAATTTACACTTCCCCACGTTGTCCAGATAAAAAGTTATTGGCGCATCACCCTAAGGTCTGCAACATTGTTTTTATTGGTTCTGCAGTCAGGATGGAAATAATAATGGTTACAGCTAAGCCGTTCAGTAGATGTCAAAAAATGATTGTGAATTATTTAAATTTTTGATATGAATTACAAAAATAAAATCCTATTTATGACTTGGTGACAATTTTTAGACCTATGCTATGAAAGACTGATTTAAGTACCAATTAAGGCCTTATTTTTATACTGAACAATTCAATGCCCTTTAAGACTTTTTAATGAACCGCAGGAACCCTGTTATATGTTTTTTGATGTGAGAAAGTCAACCTCAAAACATTATCTGTGCAGTCAGTTCATCAAGACTCCGATCCTGCCTAAAAATATTTAGCTGTGGGTTGAGCGCCGGTCCCCATATACCGGCTGTGCGCTGTTACTGGGAATCTAGCAACAGCTGCCTCAGGTAGGATCACGTGTACTACTACCTGTTCTACTTTTTTGGGATGACTATGACCCGGATGACTGAGAATCTTTATCAGTATAAAATCAAACATATTTTGCCAGCAGGTTAACATTTTAAGTTAATTTAGACATTAATAAACAGTTTCAGTAAAGTGATTTTAACTCTGCATCAGCAGTGCTGTGTCTGTCTTCCTGCAGTTTACAGATCAGCTTCTCTGATTGGTTGATGTTGCACGTCAAGCAGCAAAAATTCTAATTTTCCAACTCCAGCATCTGCTGCTTGTGAATTTTTTAACATTTGAGCAAAGTTTAGCTAAAAGCCTAATGAGGAAGAATTTGACAGTGAAGGATAATAGAGCATGATATACATTAGGGGTGGAATGGTTCACAAAATCCACGGTTCGGTTCGGTTCACGGTTTCGTGGTCACGGTTTTCGGTTCGGTATATGTTGATTGTTCCCCCGAAATCCCATAAAAAATTAATGAAATTAATGAAAAAATCCAAAAAAATTAATGAATTGTAATTATTTTTAA